CACTCCCACCCGACCCCGAAATAGTTTGCTCAGCATGGATGCCGACCAACTTCAGAAACTCTTGAACAACATTACCCGGTTATTCGAACGAGCTACGACTGACATCATCAACGGCAATAAAAATGACATAACAAAAGCAAAACTGGGACGTTCATCAGAAGTCCCGCATGCCGCAAATGAAACCCAAAACAGAATCCTAGAGGTGAGAAATAATCGTCAAGGCAAGACCCGGGAGAACGACATAGCTACGAAACCAATCAAGAAGAAACCAAAACGTACCTGTGCGGAGATTCGAACAGCTAGCGATGAAGATGCCAGGGTGCCAAGTGAGAGGGAGCAAGTGGAAGCACCCAAAGGCAACGAGAGAGATGCCAAGATTGCGGAAACTGAGAGCGAATCGAGAGGTGACGGAAAGTCAGTGACCCCGAATCAAAGGGTGGTGTGTCGCAAAAAGAAGGGAACAGAAGACGATAACCCTGTGAAGACAAAGGAAGAAGTAAGGTTTGACCCTCGGGATGATAAGGACAAAATAGTGATGGTGCCAGTTGGTGTCATCACGACCGAGAAATGCGAAGAACCTAATAGGAAGGAATCTGATCCACGCAAAGCAAGATCGGATTGTCGCAATGATGATATCATACTTGTTGAGCGAAAAACCCACGAGGTTGAATCAGATCGTCTTAGTAGCCGTGATAGCTCCACTGATGGTGCTGAAAGCGATAATGACTGTGATGGAAGACATACTACAGAAATCGCCACGGACTATTGTAATCAAGGAGGAGAAGACGACACCGCCGAACGAGTGAAGCCAATAAACCCCGAACCTGACCCCAGGAGAACTCCATCAGCACACCGAGAAATAGGAGTGCTATGGAATAGACGAATCTGGAAATGGTGGCAAAGGAAAGGAGATGATGAAATCACCATAATGCACCTGATTAAGAGCATGCCCATGAATACATGGATAAATGCGCCTGCGGCGAAACAATGGAACTGTACCACTATGTCACATTGTAAAGCTGTTGGACGAAGAAAAAGATTGACAGAACACATAGTGATACACCAACGGAGGTTAAATTCCGGAGGACATAAGCAATGCAACACTTACTGCCTCAAGCCGAGTGAATCCCATAGATGGAAGTTCCACCTAGAATATTTTGAAGAAAGGCACAGGATCATGATGACGGCACGTAGGAGAAAAAAAGTCGTTAAAAATAAACCTAATCTTAGGAACACCCAACTTGCGATAAATGAAATATGTGTGAGTTCTCATCACAAGTGGTGATTATGGGGGACAATAGATTATTAAAGATCACTAATATCATTGGTTCATGAGATTACAAATCCATTATAGTGAAATTT